TGCCTTACTTAGCTGGCTCCCTTATGTCCGTATTCCACAGGTAGTCCTGTGAATAGATTGTGAAATTACAGATCAGGATATAGTTGTCAAATCATTCATTCTATTATTTTTGACCCCAAAGCTATTCCTTTTCCATCTCTAGATATTAATGTCAGAACCTGGGAAACTACTGCAGAAGGTGAAGGTGTGGCTTCAAGAATACTGGAATGTTACCGATCTTATTGCCATCCTCTTATTCTCGGTGGGCATGGTGCTTCGCCTCCAGGATCTGCCGCTCAGGAGTGATGGTCGTGTCATATATTGTGTCAACATTATTTACTGGTATATCCGATTGTTAGACATCTTCGGGGTGAACAAATATTTGGGGCCATATGTAATGATGATTGGAAAAATGGTAAGAAAAAGTTACCCATCCTTCCTTTTTGTTCTGCATGTTATAAGCGAAAACAGTAGAAGGTGGTACTAGTTTCGTACAAACTTTAGGGTGAATTTTGAGCGCATCTCTTAAGTACTTCTCTGCGCGATGCAGCTTCCTTTTGTTATAGCATAGTATTCAGTATGGGAAAAGACATATTTTAATGGCAAGGCTTTTGCATTTTTTTCTTTTCCTTGTCATAGTTATTTGGATCATTGATTCAGACAGAATTCTATGGAAGTTCTATGAATTTGGACCACAAGTCTAAAATTGTTAGCAGCATTATAATCACTGTTGTTGTTTTTTGAAAACATATACAGATACATTCAAATGTCACTCAAACTATGAATATCTGGGAATGGGATAAAAATAGCCCTAATCTATTTCGCAAATAGGCTAGGATAGTGGGAGTAATCACAGTCTATACTGAGGTTATAGGGGAAGCATGGGAAAGGTTGCTAAGTTATGGGATACAGATTTCACATTTCACTAAGGTGACATGGATCTCATAGATGGAACTGAGATAAAAATTAAGATAATTCAAGTCTGCTTTTGCTATTTAAGAGATGGAGTAGTTTAAATGGCAACAAATATCTTAACACCCCTATTCGTTATTTTGGAATCTCTTTATTTATCACAGAGCTTTCATTGCATGTCTAGTATAGAATTATGCAGGAATAATACATTTCAGTAGGATCGATAAGATTAAGGGGTTGAGATGTGAGGAAAACCAATAAATATAAAACTGGGATATTTAATTTAATATAAAACTGGGTTATTTAAAGTGGTAGATTAGCAATGAAACCAGAGTCAGGGTAGTAACAACAACAACAACAAAGAAATACTTGGAAACAGCAGAATTAAAAAAAACTGGAAAAAAAGTCACAAAATGCAAAGACCTGAAAATGGAAGTAGAATGACTGTGGCAAAAGAAAAATAGTACTACTAATAAAAGGCACCTTGAGTGCAATTTCAAAACATCTGGAGCACCATTTGAACACCATTGGCATGTTGATTTATTCCAACATCTACCAAAGCAGCTTAGTTAACTGACTCATTTGATATAGTGCTAATTGTAGCATAGGCCATAGGCCAAAATACAATGCATAGTCCCATACCCATTGCACAGGGGGGAAAAACATTTCTTTTTGCATGCATATCAAAAAGGGCAATCCATATGCATCTATTTTATTATCATGCATATCTAATCTTTGATTTACTTTGCAAAGAAAGCATTAAAGCATTCTTGAGATGGAGTGTGATGGGTTCCTCAGCAATACTTGAAATTTATATCACATCACATTCTCACAGAAATGTAGAAACATGGAATTTTACCAGGAGTGATAGAAACATAAGGTTTGCAGGTTAGTACATACTAGAGTAGACCTGGTAATGAGACTTTAAAGTAAAATTTAGAGCTGATTCACACATTCATGTGCAGCAATTAATTCCTCATAATAAAATATATGCCCAGCTTCCACTCAAACATATGAATGCGCCAACACTGGAAGTTTTTAAGAAGAAACAGGACAGCCATTTGTCCGAAATGGTATAGGGTTTCCTGCCTGAGCAGGAGGTTGGACTAGATGACCTCCGAGGTCCCTTCCAACTTTATCATTATTATTATTATTAAGAAAGTTCTAAATGGTATTACTTGATTTGGCACTTGTTGAAAGTTAGGAGCACCTCAGTAATGATATGAGTGAAATTTTTGATTCCATGTCTGTCTAATCCAAGAACAAAAAAACAAGAAGTTGCTATGCATTGAGCTAGTTTTCTCAGTACTAAAACTGAAAGTCACATAATGTTTACCTGTGCATGTGTGTATGTGTGTGGATAGATAGATAGATAGATAGATAGATAGATAGATAGATAGATAGATAGATAGATAGATAGATAGATAGATAGATAGAGAGATAGATTTTTATTAGTTCAGTTGGAAACAAGCAGAAGCAGAAACAACCAATAATAGTTCCAAAGAATCCACAACATTTGTATTTATTTTGGAACGTGTATTGCTGCCTTTGGGCTACATATGGAAAGACAACGTCTGTACCATTTTAAATGTAATATTTCTCATAATATTTCTATTATGAGTTGCATGATTAAAAGATCTTGAACACTAACGGAACATAATACTGTAATAGCCAAAGATCCAGCCCAAGTACTTGAAGATTACCATGACAAGCCAAGCAGTTTACATAGTGTGTTAATATAGGCGGATGCTTAAATCATTTGACCATTATGCTTTATAGACAAGTTGAACAATTCTGCAGGATAAAGTGGCTTTCTGTCTCTCTGTCTCTTGTCAATTTTTTTCTTTTCTTTCAGATGATAGACATGATGTATTTTGTCATTATTATGCTGGTGGTTCTGATGAGTTTTGGTGTTGCAAGGCAAGCAATTCTCTTCCCCAACGAAGAGCCATCATGGAAACTGGCAAAAAATATTTTTTACATGCCCTATTGGATGATCTATGGGGAAGTGTTTGCAGACCAGATAGACCGTAAGCAAGTTTATGATTCTCATACACCAAAGTCAGGTATCAAACTTTGATCAGGTGATGTCTTACATGATTATTGTTAACACTCTCAATAAATGGCTCAAGATAGAGGACTCAAACATTACAGGAAAGTATGAGATATTTAATCTGTTAATCTCAGAAAGTGAAATCAACATTTCTATACCACCCAGGCTGTTTTTTTCACTTTTAATACCTATAAATCATATTCAAAGTACACATCTACTTTAGTGTTCTACCATTTAATTAATCATTGTCTTTCCCTGAGAATCACTGATAGTGCTGAGAGATCCCAAGCACTCCTCAAAGAGGACCATATTTGAGGAGTCTTAACCAGATTAAGTTTGTAGTGTAGATTATATCAGTTGCCATCCATTAGTTTAATGGTGGAATGTACAAACCCTGTTTGCTCATAGACCGTTCAATTCTAGAAGTTAGTGAATCAGTTCTAGATTTTTACCCAGCATTGAAGTTACAGTGGCATTACACTAATTTATGCCATATTTTTGACCTGTTTCTACCACTCTGTTTTGGTATATTAGTAAAATAATAGTTGTTTTAAAATATATTGTGAGTGTCTATGTATTGAATAAGGACTGTAAACCACTTTGTACTTTATTTAGAATGGATGGGGTATTATGCTGTGGGTTTAGGCTGCAACCTTTGAATTCCCTGAATCAAATTCATTGTTTGCCATGAAATCACTAGGAATCCTTATGAAGCCACTCTCTCATTCTCAGCTTCCCTAATTGTAATTTATGGATATTAAGTTGACTTATATTACAAAGCTGTTCCAAGAATTTCACCTACATATTATTTGGGAGAAGCCTGAGAGCATTACACAGATACGAAACTTCATTTTTGTGTTCCAAACCTGGAATCTGTTTCCACATATGTTGTAAGAATTCATTTGCCTGGCCCTCTGCAAACATCATTCCTTTTTAATGCATCTTCCTGATGGCTATCTGTGTAATGTGCCAAAGCAGATCATGCTCACATGAAATTTTGGAGCTATAGGAATGAACAAGAAGAGCTTGTAACCTTCACAACACAGACACGCATGTAGGAAGAATATAGTTAGCTAACCTCTTCTGCTTGAGAGCACAGGGATGGCATTTAAAGGTCCAAATTCACTCTGAGCATAGTTTAAAACTTTTTCAGCTATTCCCACAGATCTATTGTGATGTCAGATGCGTCTTTCAGGAATGAGTGTGCTTCTATAATATAGCTCAGACTCATGCAAAATTCAGTTACATAAAATATAGACAGAGACAAGCAGATTGGTTTTCCCAATTCAGATCTGAGGGTTGTTGTTTTGTGTTTTTTTTAAAAAAAAAACAACCATTCTGCTGCATTTTTATTTAACCTCTTCTTCATTTTATATGTCCACCGGAAGGAAGCATATGCTGAAATACCCTTATGTATACTCTTTTCTTTCTACTATTGATAAAAGAAACCTACATCATTCTCCAAAGAGAGAGAAAGAGAGAAAGAGCAATTATTTCTTTCCTCTTGCAAATTATGCTTCCTTTTTGTTCTCAGTTATAATGCGGAATTCAAATGAACAAAAGTCCTTCATGACTTTAACTTTCTGCTTGACTATATATTTACTTTTTTGTTCTGTATTTGGGGTTTAGGAAAGCCAAGAAGTGTGGGAGAGAAGTAGAATCCCAGACTGTGGAATTTCTTTTCATAAATGTCTGTTCCTCTACAAGTGGCCATTTATTGCTGTTGTACTGAAAAAAAAATCTACTGGCATAGTGCAACATGTTCCACAGCAATTTGGCTGAGGAAAACATGCTTTTTCTTGCCGTGTGCTGATTCTAGTTTAGAACCCTGGAAATGGAGAATGAAAATGACAAGAGCAGAGCATGCTGTAGTTCTCTGTGAACAGAGGAGCATATGTTTCAACCCCATATACAGTAGAGAACTATATGCTGCATCTGTTTTAAATATACAGCAATGACTGAACTCCTAATGAAGCTGCAGAAGTGATTATTTCAGCATGAAGTGCTTCATACTGTACTATCAAAAGTCAGATTGTGAAAGGCCATGTATCACCCTCCTCTGGAGGACGATGATAGTTAATTGAGAATTAATGAATCCCTAGGTTGTTTTAACCTCAGCATCCAAATAGAGAAGGCAGAATTTGCCAGCCCTTGTGTAGTGCAAACAGCCTATTAAAAATCCCTATGATTTTGGCTGATTGCTTAGCAAAATAGCCAGAGGATAATGTTTGCTTCTAAGATAGATTTCTATACAGAATACAAATCCAAAATGCATAAAGAACTAATATAGTCTGACTGCATTTAAAGGATAGTTTTGTTCAGTCAAGTTATGTAAAGGTTGGAAAATGTCCCAAGATAGGAAAAATTGAGATCTGGGGAAAAAAACAAATAGATGCTTTCTGCTAATCTGGGACGTGTAAGTCCATCTTTCTGCTTCTGTATATTTTACGTTCAATCTATTTATTATTTGTTAGATGTATCATGGAAAAATATATATCTTTGTACAAAAGAGAAGATATTAAACCACATACTGTTATTTATAAATTCAGGGTACTATTTTCTCACTTTTTGAAAAAAAGTGTACAGCTATTAGTCTCCACATTGGCCTAAGCTAAATCAGCCGCAACTTACTATGCAAATTATTATCTTTCTGAATTATCAATCCATCTATCTTAGAGTTCAGTACCATTTGTTTAAAAGTGTATGCTATACATACATAGATTCAGGTTTTTCTTTACTTTGCATTGGTATTACCTTTTACTAGTTATAAATTCTGGGTTCCTTTTAAAAACCCACATATCTCTCACTATTTGTATGATCTTAATCTTATAAAATATTTCACTGAATTTGAGAAATATACCAAGTGTTATGTAAGACTCTAAGATAGGTTTGGCTTTTTGTTTCAATCTTTTCTACTGGTATGCGAAGCATGAAATCTGGCTGTCCGGGTTAACAGTCAATGTCTCATCAACTGGCAGCCTCTTCATTCAATGAACGTATTCTATATTTCTCATCACTTTTTTTAAACAAAGCATTTAATGATTTCTGGGCCAATGCATGTTTTTTGTAATTGGGTTCTGGTGATGGGGTATCAGTAAATAAATATTTAAATTCTTTTGGAATGGGAAAAACAATATGTATGGCTGGATTGCACTGTTAAGTTTTGAGCTTCATTGGTAATTCCTTAAAGTAAGAAGAATATTACTATTTGAGACTCATGGAATCTGGTTTTTAGACTTCTCGCTGTTGACTTGGAAGAGAACACGGCTTAGTGATCACTTCATGTCTATAATTAAAAGGTTTTTAAGTAACAAAGCAAAGTGGCAGTGTGGCAGAGTATCTTGAATGATATTTTGAATATCAGGGAATAATAAGCAATTTAAATACCCTATCATCTTGCCCAGACCATTTAAGATATGCATAGGATGAGAAAACTACCTGAAATCATGATGGGCTGCTCTCCTGTATTGCTCTGATTGCTTGCTGTTCCATCCAACAATGATTGATTGAGTGTGCTTTTGAGTCATGTTTGATTTATAACAACTTTAGTTTTCTTGGCAATATTTTCAGAAGGGGTTTGCCATTGCCTTCTTTCTAGGGCTGACAAAGAGTGACTCCACCAAAGTCACCCAGCAGGCTACATGCCTAAGGCAGGACTAAAACTCCAGCCTTCTGGTGATTAGCCCAAACTGTATCTCATTCAGAGACACATAAACTAAAATCCATTCATATTTGCTTAATATCTGCTCTATTAAAATTCAGCAATTAATTAGAAAGGCAACAGGTCTTCAATAAATGTTCACCTGATCACTATAGGTTTTTCATGGTTCGTTTTTTTTTATCTCTGTCCTGGCAGCTCTGTTAAACTTTATTAGTTAAATATTTGCTACATCTGTGATTTTTTTTTTTATTTATTTGGTCACAACATGAGAAAATAATTTTGGCCTGAATTCTTTCTTGTGTCTGGCAAGACTTATTAGTATTATATGCAAGGTGTGAAAACAACAGCAAATTGTTTTATTCCCACCACCATTGTGGAAAACCTTACTGGTGTGGAGCCATTTTTATGAATATATTTAGAGAAATATACTACAATATGTTTAATCTGTAGGTTCATAAACCATTTTTCCCCTCCTGAATGCATTAGAATGAAAAACAGGAAAACAGGGAGACAACTGGAATACACAGGATCTTTTTTTTTAATAATAATATTTTATTAATTTTCCAATTTTACATTTAAGTATTTAAAAAGCAACGTGGTGACTGGGTTAATCAATAGTTCGATAACAAAATCTTTAGTACAAATCTCAAGTTACAACATCAAATATTTCTTCTCTTTTTCCCTTAACATTTGCTGTCTCATATTCAAGCTAGTACAGTTCTTATTATATCAACTCAGTAAAAACATCATTATTACATTTATCAATAAATTTTAGCTTATACGTATCTTAATTACATTCAATCTTCATAAACAATCCATATCCTGTTATTAATTTTTACCCAATTTTTAGTTTCTCATCAATATTCCAATTTAACCTTTGATATTTATAATTTTCAGGCTTTAGGTAACCAAGATTTTCCTTGTCTCAATTCATACACATTTTATCTATTTGAATGTAGTCTTGTTCTATTTCCTAAGAGTTATCTATTTCCCACCATATTAATAATAATTAATAATAATTCATAATAATTAATTTTCTTTTTCCTTTTAGGTCTAAATTTTAAATATTAAACAGATAAAGTCCTTATTTTCAACTAATTTCCAAGTATTTTAAATCTAATGACCAGAATTCCCCTTATCTCAACTTCTCCCTTTAACCCTCTAATTAATAATATGAAATCCCCTCTAATAAGTCAAAACCCCAATTTTCTTCAACCTTATTCTGGCTTTCTTCCTTTGCCAACTAGGCTTCCATATCAGTGCTTTTAGATCATCAAATAGATCTCCCTCTATTATTATATATGTTATTTGAAATAAAGGAGACCATTTAATTGCCATTTTTTTGGAAGGAC